CACCAGACAGTTCTCTCGAATTGCCCTCCTTAAAGGAACCGCACTTGTGGCGCACACGGATGCTTGTTGGCTGCTCGAGGCGCTCGTAATATAACAAACTATGCCCTCTGGGGTCGGAGGCCAGGATGGACATCTGGGGGCAGTGTCCAGGACAATCCATTGCACGGCATCGCTCCTCATATGCTTTGAACGTGCGGACGCGGATGCGCCGCGTCGTGCATCGGCGCTGGCCAATCACTATCGCCCAGACGTGGGCCCTCGGTGTCTCGCGAGGGGCCACAGGAGTCGGAGGGGGGGGAGGAACGGAAGGCGGGGCCCCAGGGTCCCAGGGGGCCAAGGCCGAGACAGCCCCCGAGGGAGGGGAGAGGCTCTTCACGGGCTTGGCCAGCGCCTTGTTGCGACGAGGGGCGATCGCGGGCCACTCTCCAAGGGCTTTGGACACATGCCGAAGGTATTTCTTCAGCAGAGCAGTGTCTTTCTGATGCTGCTCTACTTCGTCGAGACGAGGTTGGCCGCCAAGGTTCGCGGCGGCATTGGCAATCCTATCTGCGGCATCGCTGCCGCTGGTTAAGCGGACATCTTCTCTATCGGGGGGAAGCAACTCCAGATGTTGGTGAGCTTTGATTTGCTGGAGTTTGGGGCTGAGGTCAAAATAGCCTCCGCCCGCGAGCACTTTGCCACCTGGCCATTGATTGCGGCGAGGGTATCCAGCCTCGCCGCGCAATTGCAACGTCCCTTTATAATCCGAGTAGATCTTGCCAGCGTGAGGCGAGAGCCTGCCTGCCGCAACTGGGCGAGGTGCTCAGCGGCCCCCGAGGTTTGGGCCCCCAGGGGCCCAACGCGGCCATGGAAGGTGACAAACCCCACCCCACCCACCATGCACACTGCGGCAAACCCAGCAGCATTGAAGTTTTAGTGGCCGTGACACGTGCAACCACCATCTATGTCGACATCACCTTTGAACACTTCCTCAGGCCTTATTTAGGGTCTCGACGCCAAATTTCTGCGGCCCCCAGGCCAGTGTCAGGGCGGGGGGGGGGGGGGGGGGCGCAAAGTTGGGCGTGAGCTGAAACCCAGGGCGGAGCGGGGAGGTGGCAGGAATCGGGTCTTTCAACCTACGAAGCTCCCCACTAGTGAACTCTTCCTTGGCCTGGGCAGTCTTGGGGCATTCGAGGAGGCGATGTTGGAGGTCATATCTGTGGTGTCCACGTGGGCAACCTTGAGGCGCATCTTATCCTGCTGAAAGCGCGCGCTCCATGGTCCAGATACTCTTGGGCGACGAAGGTCAGCAGCGTGCCGCGCCGCTGCTTGGTCAGCTCGACTGAGGTGAGGGCGGTGCGGAGGGCTGAGGCATCAAGTTGCTCGCCATGATGTCCCATCTTGGCGGCAGCCTGCACAGTTAACTTGTCGTGCCCGGCAACCCCGAGCTGCTTGGCAATGTAGGCTTGGGAGGTTCTTCGGAGGGGATACACAATGCCAGATGGAGTCACAAAACGGAAAGGGCCTTAAAACGACCACCCCCACCCTAGCCAACGAACGGGCCGCCGCGTTGAGGGGGCCCTACATGGGCCCCAAGATTTGGAAACTCTCGGCTAATCTGTTGGGGGCTGGCCGCGGCCGCATCGGGGCGGGCGTTGGCCTCCCAGACAAGGCGTCGCCACAGAAGCGCGGGCCCGAGGCCCGCTTTCCACGGGGGGCCCTGGGGGATGAGGGGCGAGAGAGTACGGCTCCTCGAAGCACGCCTAAGACTTGATGCAGCTAAATATTGAGTTTGGGCCTGCGCGAGCATCGTGTTGTTGATGCCCGTGACCGCAACTCCGGACGTGGTGGCCGCTGCGAGGCCAGTATTGTGCCACTTCCTCCCTTTTCCTCCAGCATGTTTAAAACTTTTGCTACGGGCCATGCGTTTCTTGATCTTGTCAATGCGCTCCATGAGCTTTTGTCCTTTTCGCCGACGCCTTTGAGGCCGTCCAGCCGCGCTTTCCATGCCGAGGTTGGGTCCTGAGATGTCCGTAGAGGGCCCAGCGAGCGTCTCGAGGGTCTTCCGAAGATTGTTTTGGAGATCCTGGCTGGAGACTATATCCTGGCTCCTCCTGGTCGCGACCTGTCATTTTAACCCGTGCTTGATGCATCTGGCTCGCGACCGAGCAGCCCAATTCACTTGACTGGTCACTACTTCATAGCTCCTAGCATGGCACTGCGGCAATACATTGTCGATAAACATAGCGAGGCGAAGGTAGCTGTGCGTGGCTGCCCACTTGTCGAGGGAAGCGAGAACATGCATTTACGCGAGATACGTCGCCCGCCCGCGCCCCGCAATCAAACCCTTCCACGCTTTGCCGACCGCAACACGCACATCGTGCATAGCAACGAAACGGGTACTTCCATAGTGATATAGAATGACGCGGATCAGGCAGCGCGGGAAACCAGGCGCGACGGCGCGCTGGGCAAGGCACTCGCGATTTACGTGCTCGTACTCGTTAGAGAGGTCCCCTAAAACTTGAGCCGGATGTTGGGTTCCTCTTGGGACGCATGCTATTCACATTCGAGTGACTGTGCATATGCAAACACCACTATTGAATGTCTCGCCTGATGTGCAATACATGGTCGTCTGTGGTGAAACTCCCACTCTCGGGCTGCTGATCTCCGCAGTCGGGGCCAAACGCGATGCAGAGTAGGGGGCGTGCCAATCGGCCGAAAGCCGGGCTGGGCACTAATCTCATCATATTCTTTTTAGTTTGAGCATAAGCGTAGACATAGCACCCTGCAGCTGCGATGGCATGTGCCCGATCTGCTCGATTAGCTCATCATGCAAACTACATCGGCTTGCTCGTCACCGAGCATGGGGAAGTGGCGCGGGTGCACTCCGCCTCAAGTTGAGGCCGTACTGTGTGGAAAGCTTCTGGGAACCTTTCGGAGGCAAGCTGGGGTGATGGGTCCAAGGGCCACCCTGTCGTCGGTCTGGGGTGCCCATTGCCGGGGGGGCCTCAGTGTGAACATCCCAAGTCTTGGCGGGTCGGTTGGCTTCGACCTGGAGGATGTGCTGCGGGCGTCCAGAAAACCACTGGCGGTGCACGACCGAAGCAGGCTTCCAAGCTCCGAGCTTCTTCGTCCACCTGTGCGCCCACCCCGTGCCTCCTTTCATGGAAGACTGCCCAATCCCTCCACTCCTGCCCGTCCTTACTGCGCTCGGTGGCAAGTTCAGCATCGATGATCTTGCCGACTTGCTCGAGCAGCTCATCTAAAATCGTGATGCCCAACTCTGCGCTGAGCCCCAGCCCTTGTGAACCCTCGTGCAACAATCCTGCGGCGACGCGAACTTCCTGCAGCCCTTGAGCAAGGGCAGGAGAGGTGTTAACACTTTCTGGGCTGTCATCCAGGCTGTCCGGGGTGTCCCGGAAATCCTGGAGACCATCGTCCTGGATGCTGCGTCGGCAATATTGCAGCCGATTTGGGAGCCATCGAAGAGGCCTGGAATAGGCCGTCCAGCACTTGCGCCCCTGGGAACACTTCGCAATGGCCGGGGCCATGTGGATCTGGGGGTGGGGGAGTCCTGGGAGTCTTGCTGGGTCTGAGGGGGGGTGCCCTTGTTGACGCTGAGTGTGTGCTCGAGGTCCTGGGCGAGGGCGAAGTACACGTGGTCCAGGATGGCGGAGCGCTGCTGGTCGGAGAGGGGCTGCGAGGCATCCCCGGGAAGTTGGATAGCATACTCTATCACTGCAGCTGTCTGGTGCCAACTAACCGACGGGAGCTGGGGTCCTATGGGCGTCCTAGTGGGGAGCTTTTGGGGCCTGGGGAGCGTCGGTGTCTTGAACTTGTCCTGCGCAGACAGGGCCATGGTTACAGGGCGGTGGGGAGACAAGGGGTAGGAGGTGAAGTTGCAGGGAGGTTCTAGCCATGGCCCCAAGGCCTGGCTGTGGATAAAGAAATCGAGAGTCGACTTCGTCTTCTTGGTGCGGTAGGTGGCGGCTTGCGGCGACGCTACCCTCATCGTGGCACGCTCGAGGAAATCTGTGCCCTGCTGGAGCCTCTCTGGCTGCAAATTGAAACCACCTGCAACAATGAGCGGCTTGCCTGCTAGATCTTGGGTTTGGCCGATGGTGGCCCGCATATTTAAATTGGTCTCATTGTGACCCGAGGATGCCTGAAAATAAGCGCTCACCAGACCGAAAGCTGGGACCCCTGGCGCTTCGACGACGACCCCAGCGAATCTGGAGCTGTCAGTCCTTGGAGGAAATACAGCGGCTGAGCCCCAATGTCCAAGCCATCCCGAACTAAAACCGCCACCCCCGAGACAAGCTCACCCGAGGGGTTGCGGACGGCAGGCGGAATGTGAGCACGCCAGCCTCGTGCAACGCACCACTGCGTCAGACGAATGATTATGCCCCCTGCTTCAAGCCTGCACTCCTGAGCGCAGATGAAAGTTAATTTGCGTGCAGTGCTGGACTCTACTAAGCCTTTCAGTGCACCCCAGCAAGAACCGTTGATCGTGGCGAACGTGTAGACGTTGTCAACGAGACGGCTGTGCAGACGGCGGTGAAAACCCGATGCCCCAGCTATCCCCGTTGCTGCTGCCACTGCTGCTGCTGCTGCTGCTGCCGCCGCCTTGGCCCGCTTGGCCTCGGGACCCTCCTGGCCCTGGATCTCGGCCATGCCGCTGGCAACGGAGTGGAGAGCCGACGCCGCGCGCACCATGTATTAGGTCTGCTCCAGGAGGAAGAGGACGAGGTGGAAAAGGCGGATGCGGAGGCGGAGGAGGTGGAGGAGGCGACGGCTTAGGCGGATGCGGAGGCCTAGGCGGAGGCGGGGGCGGATGCGGAGGAGGAGGAGGAGGAGGAGGAGGAGGAGGAGGAGGAGGAGGAGGAGGAGGAGGAGGAGGAGGAGGAGGAGGAGGAGAAGCGGAGGCGGAGGAAGGCGGAGGCGGACGGCGGAGGCGAAACGGAGCGGAGAATGAGGATGAGGATGAGGAGAGGAGGAGGCGGAGGCGGAGGGGAGGAATGTGAGAGGAGGGGGGCGAGGAGCGGAGAGCGGAGGAGGCGGAGGCGGAGGCGGAGGCGGAGCGGAGGATGAGGCGGAGGAAGGCGGATAGGTAGGAGGAGGAGGAGGAGGAGGAGGAGAGGAGGATGAGGAGAGGCGAGAAGGAAACGGAGAGGATGATGAGGAGGATGAGGAGGAGGAGGAGAAGGAGAAGGCGGACATGAGGAGGAGGATGAGGAGGAGGCGGCGGAAGGCGGAGAGGAGGAGGATGGAGCAGGGGGGGGGGGGGGAGAGGAGAGAGGAGGAAGATGAGGAGGACGAGGAGGAGGAAGAGGAGAAGGAGATGAGGAGGAGAAGGAGGAGAAGAGGGTGGAGGAGGAGGATGAGGAGCGAAGGAGGAGGAGAGTAGGAGGAGGAGGAGGGGAGAGGAGGAGGGGAGTAGGTGCGGAGGAGGGAGGAGGGAGTAAGGAGGAGAGAGGAGGAGGCGGAGGATGAGAGAGGAGGAGGAGGAATGAGGAGGTTGGAGGGGAGGAGGAGGAGGGGATGAGGAGGAGGAGGAAGGAGTAGAAAATGGGAGGAGGAGTGAGTAAGGAGGAGGGGATGAGGAGGAGGAGGAGGAGAATAGGGGGAGGAGGAGACGTTGGCCGCAACGGAAAGCGGAGGGGAGGAGGAGGATGACGATTAAGGAGAGGAATAGGAAGGGGAGAGGACAAAGGGGACAAAACCTAGAGGAGGACGCGAGCTGAGAGCGGAGGGAGAAAAGGAAGAGAGGAGGGAGAGGAGGAGGAGGAGGAAGAAAAATTGAGGACATTACGACAAACACGAGAAAAAGGAAGAAGAGAGAGGAGGGCGATGAGGAGGAGGAGGATCAGGAAGAGGATGCTGATGACGATGATGATGAGGAGGAGGAGGCGGTAGGAGGCGGGTTTCATGGCGGAGGGTGGTGAAGAATGGATCCTGGGCATGACCTTGAGTAATACGAGGAGTAGGGACACCGCGTATTACCATTGTGATGTTGATGGTCGTGATGATGTTGTTTATGATGAATATTTGGAGTATGTTGATCATGATCATGATTTGTACATTGGCGATCGTGCTGGTGATGATGAGGATGTCGATTGGGATAGCGATTCTAAGTTCGAGGAATGTGATTAGGATGCGGATGGGGATGATGATGAGGGTTATACTGATGATGATGATGCTGCTGTTGATGAACATGCTGATGATGATGCCAGTGGTGGAGATGATGACGATGATGATGATGTTGAGGATGATGATGATGATGATGATGATGATGATGATGATGATGATGATGATGATGATGATGATGATGATGATGATGATGACGATGATGATGGTGCTGATGATGGTGATGATGATGCTATTGGTGATGATGATGCTACTGGTACTGATGGCTATATCGATGAGGATACTGATGATGATGACGATGATGGTGCTGATGATGATAAGTGGGGTGTTTATGGCGACGGTGCCGACTATGACGGCTATGTCGTTGTCTATGATGATGGTGGTGGTGGTGATGGTGATGTCGTTGACGATGGTGACGATGTTGTCGATGGTGGTAATTCTGGTTCTGATTATGTAGTGGGTGGCAATGACATGTACGTGTGGAGGTGGTGATGCTGCTGCTGATGAGGATGGCGACTACACTGAGGATACATACGTACTGGTGATGATGATTATGCTGCTGCTGCTCCTGATGATGATTATGATGGCTATGGCGACGATACTCATCATGATGCTGCTGCTGCTGATGCTGCTGCATATCGTTGCGGTGATTGTGGCAATGCGGGGGAGGTCGACGACGAGGGGATTACGTCTGACGATTGTGGCGGTGGTTACGGTGATGATGGTGATGGTGATGGTGATGATGATGCTGATGGCGATGGTAATGATCATGATGCTTATGAGTGCTATGATGATGAAGATGGTGATGATGATTGCTGCTGCTGATGATGACGATGCTGATGGTGATGACGATGATTAATATCATGATGATGTTGTTGATGATGATGACGATGTCGAAGATGATGCTGTCATGATGATGATGATGAGGATGATGATGATGATGCTGATGATGGTGATGATGATGCTGATGCTGAAACCTACGCTGTTGATGCTGATGCTGATGCTTATGCTGGTGACGGTGATGCTTCTGATGATGATGAGGAGGAGAAGGAGGAGGAAGACGGAGACGAGGATGATGATGAGGATAATGATGAGGATTAGGATGCGGATGATGATGAGGATGAGAATGAGGAGGCGGATGAAGATGAGGACGAGGACGAGGACGAGGATACGGACCAGGACGAGGACGATGACGATGACGATGCTGGTGCTGATGCTGCTGCTGCTCCGGAAGATGGGGAGGAGGACAAAGAGAGGTGATCCCACTCCGATCCTTGACATCCTTCTTTCCCTCCCCCCCCGCCCTCCTCAGAGATCCGTACCCCCAGACGGGCTTGTGGAGGCGTGGTGCCAGCGGTGGCGGATCGCGGCGGACCGCCGCGGCGGCGTCGCCGACGGCGAGGACATAGGTCCAGAGGAGTCGGGATCACGGCGGGTCGCGGCGGCGGCGGAGCGTCCTCCGCCGCGACGAGGCGGGCCTGGGTCGCGGACGCCGGCGGCGGCATCGGGCTGGTCGGCGGCCCCCTCCCGGGCCCGCGGCGGCGCCCCCTCGCGTGGGGAGGGGGCGGCGGAGGGGCCACTGGAGGCTGGCTGGTCGCGAACGGCGGCCCTCCCTGGGCTGTCTGTCGTCCTCTTTTGGGCCTCCTGGAGGCTTCTCGTCACCACGGCTGGATATCAATCGCGCCGCAGAACGGGTCGGGATGGGGTTCGGGCGCCCGTTTTTTTTCCGGAGGGGGTACAGTCAAAGCTCTGAGGTATTCGCAGGAGTAAGGGGCGCCGAGGCCGCTACCCTTGATTCGTTCTGGTTATTTGGGCCACCTGGGGGGCTCTCGTCGCCATGGCTGGATCCGCCTCGAAATCCTAGGCAGAAGGCGCTCAGGAGGGGCTTCGGTTGATGGGCCTGTTTTCCACCACCACCACCAGAAGTTGGAGGGGGAGGAGGAGGAGGAGGAGGAGGAGGAGGAGTGGGAGGAGGAGGAGGAGTGGGAGGGAGGAAGGGAGAAGGAGATGAGGAGGAGGGCAGGAGGAGGAGGAGGACCCCCTCCCCCTCCTACTTGTGGTTTTGGTTATGGTTATGGTGGTGGTGGTGGTGGTGGTGGTGGAACACACGCCCATCATCGTTTTTCGGGTCGTTCCTTCGCTCCAGGTCGGGGACAGGTTCGTGGCCGAGGCTCGCCGCGGCCACACACAACAACAACAAAACATGTTGTCCTCACTCGGCGCGTCTTATGGTGGTAGCACGATGGTTGTAGGGAGGAGGAGGAGGCGGAGGAGGAGGAGGAGATGGAGTAGGAGGAGCAGCAGGGGTGGAGGCGAAGGAGGAGGAGGAGGAGGAGCAGGGGTGGAGGTGGAAATGGAGGAGGAGGCGGAGGAGGAGGAGGAGGAGGAGATGAAGGAGGGGGAGGAGGAGGAGGACCAAAGTAAACCCGAGACGCATCACCGGTGTTGCAATATATTCTCCCTCAGAGTTCCCACATCATAGGTCCCCGCAAGATTTTCAGGGAGGGAAGGGCCCCATGGGAAGATTCGCAATTCCTGGGACTTCAACGCCACGAATCCTCGTAATTGTTGCTTCGTGACCGTCATTCATTGTGCCAGAACACCATTCCGTGGGCTTCAACACTGCGAATCAACGCGGCCGTTGCGTCCTGACAATCCTGGATCGTACCAGAGCAGCATTCATGGGACTTCGACCATACGAATCTTTGAAACCGTTGTAGCATTTGAGGCACATGTGGTCGGTGTGCTGCGCTAAGGCGAGAGCTACGTGAAGACCAGTCGCCATCCATCCTTTCAAGCTGTTGCAAAACCACGCTTCGCGTGTCCCCACCAGCCTATTCAGAAACCATGCCCATGAGGGCTTACGGGAAAGTGGACGAAACACCGCACACGCACACACACACAGTGAAATAAAGCGGGCAACCATGGTGAACAGAGAAATGCTCGGGAGCAACGCGGTGGCCTTGGAAGGCCTCTTCGGGCCATCCCTGGAGCCCGCGTAGGGGCGAGAGGCGGATGATGATGAGGAGGAGGAGGAGGAGAAGAAGGAGGAGAAGGAGGAGGGGTGTCTTGGGGTCCTCTTGGCTCTTCCGGGGCGTCTTGTGTCCCCCTTGGGGCTCTCTTGGGAGCTCTGGCCGGCCTCTTGGGGCCTTTTTGTAGGGCGTCGATCAAAGGAGGGAGGGTCCCTCGATTTGCCTGCCCCATCTGGAGCCATCAAAATCGCCCCTTGATGCGCTCTTGGGTAGATCTTTGGCGCGCTTGGGGCCGTTTTTGGAGCCTCTTGGGCCCCCCTTGGGTTTCTGTTGGAGTTCTGGGGCCATTTTGAGGCCCCAAAAGCGCATCGGAAGCAGAAACGCGAGAAGGCACACATCATTGATTTTCCTCAGGCTTTTGGAAGGAATTTGGCTTCTTGGGGAGTTGATTCGGCGCCCACGAAAACACTTGGAGTCGACCTGGAGCGGTCGTCGGGGCTGGAGCATGTCGGAAGTCACCTTGAGATCTTGAGCCATCTTGAAGGCTATTTTGGAGCATCGGACGCCCTCTTGGAGCCATCTTCGAAACTCTCCCTGAGGTACCTTCCCCAGGGGTAGCTTCCCTTCGGGGAGGTACCTTCCCAAGGGGTACCCTCCCTTCGGGGAGGGCCTCCCCGAAGGGAAGAGGGGTTCTGGACGAGAGCATACAGCTCGTTGGACCAGCCGCGCCCAGAGGGCCGGTGGGATTTGCGAGTTCAATTTGCGCGGCGCCGAGGCGAGAGCAACGGTATCGTGAACGGTGAGGCAGTCTCGGGCGAAACGTCCAGCCCGCGCTGCCGGCACGCCTGGGGTGGGTGCGGCAGGGAGGAGCACACGGTGAAGACCCATGCCAAGAAGCACCCTGCTCGCCTCCAGGGTGCTCTGGGTTTCTTGGGTTTCGATGGTTCTGCGATGGAGAACGCGACGTGCCCACACCAGAAATCAGTGCACGCCCTGGGTTCTCAGGGCTGGGTTTCTTGTGGAAGGTTTTGTGTTGACTGGCCTCCACTGTAGGGACAAAGAATGGAGGAGGAGAACCTTGACCTCCCACCTCCCCGACGGCGTCTCCCGTCCCCCGTCTGCTGCTGCCGCCGCCCGCGCCCTGCGTCGCGCGCCGCGCCGCGCGCGCGAACGCGCGTGGCCCGCGACGACTGCGACGACGGCGGCGGCCGCCGCCTCCAGAGGTCTCCGAGGACCGCCGAGCACCCGCCGAGGGCCGCCGAGGGTCGCTGAGGGCCGCCGAGGACGGCCGAGTGCCCGCCGAGGGCCCGCCGAGGGCCCGCCGAGGGCCCGCCGCGTGCCCGCCGAGGGCCCGCCGAGGGCCCGCCGAGGGCCCGCCGAGGGCAGTTGAGGGCTGCCAAGGGCCCGCCGACGGCCGCGGAGGGGCGCCGAAGAAGACCCCGTTTGGGGCGCCGAGGGCCGCCGAGGCCGAGGGCGGCCGCCGCGGGCAGGGCTCCCCTCATGAGGGGGAAGTTGCCCCTGCTCCTCCCTCCCTGCCTCCTCCTCCTCCTGCTTCTCCTCCTCCTCCTCCTCCTCCTCCTCCTCCTTCCCCTCCACCTCCCTCCCCCCCTCCTCTCGCCTCCTCCTCCTCCTCGCTCCTCCTCCTCCCCTCCTCCTCCTCCTCCTCCTCCTCCCCTCCTCCCCTCCTCCTCCTCCTCCTCGCCCCTCCTCCTCCTCCTCCTCCTCCTCCTCCTCCTCCTCCTCCTCGTCCTCGTCCAGCCACTTTCAACCGCTCCCCTCCCCTCCCTCCTCCTCCTCTCCTCCTCCTCCTCCTCCTCCTCCTCCTCCTTCCTCCTCCTCCCTCCGCCTCCGTCCTCGTCCTCCTCGCCCCTCCCCCTCCTCCTCCTCCTCCTCCTCTCCTCCTCCTTCTCCTCCTCCTCCTCCTCTTCCTTCCTAATCCACCTCCTCCTATTCCTCCTCCTTCTACTCCTCCACCTCCTCCCTCCTCCTCCTCCTCCTCCTCTTCCTCCTCCTCCTCCTCCTCCTCCTCCTCCTTCTCCTCCTCCCTTCTCCGTAGCCGTTTTGGCTCAAGAGTTTGTTCGCCTTTGGCTCGAGCTGGGAGCTGTCATGGCCGACGCGACGGCGGCGGCACTCATCAGGGCGACTGTGCGAGCTGGCGGCTCTCGCCAGCTGGCGGCGGCCACGGCCGTGGCCCTCTGGCGGGCGGCCCGTGCCGAGGCTTGCAGCTCGCTTGTGGAGGAGAGGTGGGTGGGCGAGGAGGTCCAGGCGCGCGTCGAGCTGATCAGCCCTTCCTTCGCGCGAAGGTCGAGGCGGAGGTCAGCGATTCGCCGATAGTCGTCGACGGCGGGGTCAAGGCGCAGTGGAACGTCGCGGACAGAGCACGGCCTCTTCGGGAAGGTCGCGGAGGTTCTGCCCGAGAACGGGGTGGAGGCTAAGCGGCGGCAACGGGGGCGGCGGCGGCGCGGTGCTAAGTGCGGCGCTCAGAATGCCGCCTCGGACAAAGATGAAGGCGTGGGCATGGAGGGCGAGACCATGGAGTTCCACATTACCAGCGACGTGGAGGTCGCCACCGAGATGTGCAAGCAGGTTGTCCAGCTGGAGAAAAGGAGCGGGACCCCTTGGTCAAGGCGTGCGATCGACTGATGGACTCCACCGGCAAGGTCACCGCCATCGAGGACCAGCTGGCGAAGGCGGCGGAGGCCAGGTGCATAGCCGCAGACACCATCTTCGAGCTTAGCGCTGAGGCCCAGGAGCTGGGCCTGTTCATGTTGAAAGGCCGCCAGGATGAACGAGCAGGTGTAAGTCTCGGCCATCGACGCGATGCCCCTCGACAAGGGCGGACTGTTTGGGCACCCCACGTTCTGTTACAGGCCTGAGGAACTGGGTCGCTGGACTCCCAAGGTCGTGCAAGTTGGTGTCAGTTTTTAACGATGAGGTTGGGGTCCAGTGATCCGTGCCGGGTGGATGGCAGCTGGCGAATCCTTCATGGCGAATCCTCCTCCTCCCTCCTCCATCGCCTCCTCTTTTCCTCCCTCCTCCTCCTTCTCCTCCTCCCCCCCTCCTCCCCCCTCCGCCTTCTGCATAGGGGCCGTCGTTCGGACTCGCCTCCAGCGCGCCTAACCTTAACCTCCCTCCTCCCCCCCTCCTCCTCCCTCCTCCTCTCCTTCCTCCCACGTCCTCCTCGAACGCGCGGAGGGGGTCGGAGCGCCCGAGGTCAAGCTGCGACAGGGCGGAGGCCTGCGGCGGGAGCAGCGTGGCGTCAAGGTGTCGGCCGCGGCCTACCAGGCCGTGGCCGTCGTCGTCGACGGCATCGTCGTCGTCGTCGTCGACGTCGTCGCCGATGTCGTGGTCGTCGTCACCGTCTTCGTCGTCGACGTCGTCGGAGACGTCGTCGTGGTGGTCGTCGTCGTCGTCGTTTTCGCCGTCGTCGTCGTCGTCGTCGTCGTCGCAATCAACGTCGTCGTCGCAATCGACGTCGTCGGAGAAGTCGCGCTCGTCGTCGTCGTTGTCGTCGTCGTCGGCGTCGACGTCGTCAATGTCGTGTTCGCCGTTGACGTCGTCGCCGTCGTCACCACCGTCACCGTCGACGTCGTCAACGTCGTCGACGTCGCCGTCTTAGTCATCGTCCCCTTCGTCGTCGAGGTAGTTGTCGTTGTCGTGTTTGCCGTCGCCGTCGTCGCCTTCGGTGTCGTCGGAGATGTCGTCGGGGTCGTCGTCGTTGTGGTCGTCGTCGTCGTTGTCGTGCTCGTGGTCGGCGTCGTCGTCGTCGTCGTCGTCGTCGTGCTCGTGGTCGTCGTCATCACCGCCGTCGTCATCGACGTCGTCGTCGTCGTTGTCTTGGTCGTTGTCGTGCTCGTGGTCGTCGTCGTCGTCGTCGTCGACGTCGTCTTCGTCGATGTCGTTTTTGCCGTCAACGTCGTCGTCGCCGCCGCCGTCACCGTCACCGTCGATGTCGTCAACGTCGTCGACGTCGTAGTCATCGTCGCCTTCGTCGCCGTGGTCGTCGTCGATGTCGTGTTTGCCTTCGACGTCGTCGGGTTCGCCGTCGTCCTCGTCGTCGTGGTCGTCGTCTTTGTCTTGGTCGTTGTCGTGCTTGTGGTCGTCGTTGTCGTCGTCGACATCGACGTCGTTGATGTCGTGTTCGCCGTCGACGTCGTCGCCGTCGTCACCGTCGTCACTCACCGTCGACGTCGTCAACGGTGTCGTCGTCGTGCTCGTCGTCGGCGTCGTTGTCGCATTCGTCGTCGTGGTCGTCGTCAGTGTCGTGTTCGCCGTTTTTGCCCTCGGCATCGTCGGAGACGTCGTCGTCGTCGTGGTCGTTTCCGTCGTCGTCATGGTCGTCGTCGTGCTCGTGGCCGACGTCGTTGTCGTCGTCGTCGTCGGCGTCGGCGTCGTCGATGCCGTCGTCACCGTCGACGTCAACGGCGTCGCCGTCGTGGTCGTCGTCGGCGTCGTCGTCGCCTTCGTCGTCGTGGTCGTCGTTGGTGTCGTGTTTTCCGCCGCCGCCTTCATCGTCGTCGTCGTCGTGCTTGTCGTCGTGGTCGTCACCGTCGTCGTTGTGGCCGTCGTCATGCTCGTGGTCGTTGTCGTCGTTGTCGACGTCGGCAAAGTCGTGTTCGCCGTCGTCGTCGTTGTCGTCGTCGTCGTCGTCGCTGTCGTCACCGTCGTCACCGTCGACGTCGTCAACGTCGTCGTCGTCGTCGTTAACCTCGTCGTCATCGTGGTTGTCGTCGTGGTCGTCGTCGTCGTTGTCGTGTTTGCCGTCGCCCACGTCGCCTTCGACGTCGTCAGAGACGTCGTCGTGGTCGTCGTCGCCGTGGACGCGGTCAACGTCGCGGTCGTCGTCGTCGTCGTCGTCGTCGTGCGCGTCGTCGTCGCCATCACACCGTCGTCGTCGTCGTCGTCGTCGTCGTCAAGGCCGTCGTCGTCGACGCCGTCGTCATCATCGTCATCGTCGACGTCGTCAACGTGATCATCGTCGTCGCCTTCGTCGTCGTGGTCGTCGTCGATGTCGTGTTTGCCGACGCCATCGTCGCCTTCGACGTCGTCGGAACCGTCGCCGGGGTCGTCGTCGTCAGCATCGGCGTCGGCTTTGTCGTCGTGGTCGTCGAGCTCGCGGTCGTCGTCGTCGTTGTCGTCGTCTTCGTTGCCTTCGTCGTCGTGGTTTTTGTCGATGTTGTGTTTGCCGTCGTTGGTGGCCGCCTTTGACGTCGTCAGCGTCGTCGTCGTCGTTCACGATGTCGTTGTGGTCGTCGTCGTCGTGGTGGTCGTCGTGCTCGTGGTCGTCGTAGTCGTCGCCGTCGTCGTCGTCGTTGTCGTCGTCGTCGTCGTCGACGTCGTCGATGTCGTGTTCGATCGCCGTCGTCCTCGTCGTCGTCTTCGTCGCCGTCGGCATGGTCGTCACCGTCGTCGTCGTCAGCGTCAGCGTCGTCGACGTCGCCTTCGTCGTCGTGGTCGTCGTCGATGTCGTGTTTGCCATCGCCGTCGTCGCCTTCGACGTCGTCGGAGACGTCGTCGGGGTTGTCGTCGTAGTCCTCGCCGTGGTCGTCGTGGTCGTCGTCGTGTTCGTCATCGTCTTCGTGGTCGGCGTCGTCGTTGCCGTCGTCGTCGACGTCGACGTCGTCGATGTCGTGTTCGCCGTTGACGTCGTTGTCGTCACCGTCGTCACCGTCGACGTCGTCGTCGTCGTCGCCGTCCTGGTCATCGTGATCGTCGTCGATGTCGTGTTTGCCGTCGCCGTCGTCGCCTTCGACGTCGTCGTCGTCGCCGTCGTCGTCGCCGTCGTCACCGTCGACGTCGTCAACGTTGTCGTCGCCGTCGTCGTCGTCGTCGTCGTCGTCGTCGTCGTCGTCGTCGTCATCGTCGTCGTCGTCGTCGTCCTCGTCGTCGTGGTCGTCGTCGATGTCGTGTTTGCCATCGCCGTCGTCGCCTTCGACGTCGTCGGAGACGTCGTCGGGGTCGCCGTCGTCGTCGTCCTCGTGGTCGTCGTGCTCGTCGTCGTGCTCGTTGTCGTGATTGTGGTTGTCGTAGTCACCGCCGTCGTCGTCGACGTCGACGTCGAAATGTCGTGTCTGCCGTCGTCCTCGTCTTCGTCGCCGTCGATATCCTCGTCACCGTTGGCGTCGTCTGCGTCGTCGTCGACGTCGTCGCCTTCGTGCTTGTGGTCGTCGTCGATGTCATGTTTGCCGTCGCCCCTTCGTCGTCCTCGTCGTCGCCGTCGTCGTCCACGTCGTCGTCGTGGTCGTCGTCGTCGTCGCGCTCGCGGTCGTCGTCGTCGTCGTCGTTGTCGGCGTCGTCGACGTCGACGTCGTCAATGTCGTGTTCGCCGTCGTCGTCGTCGCCGTCGTCGCCGTCGTCACGGTCGACGTCGTCATCGTCGTCGTCGTCGCCTTCGCCGTCGTCGTCGTCGCCTTCGACTTCGTGGCCTTCGTGCTTGTGGTCGTCGTCGATGTCGTTTTTGCCGTCGCCTTCGACGTCGTCGGAGACATCGTCGGGGTCGTTGTCGTCGTCGTCGCCGTCGTCGTCGTCGTCCTCGTGATCGTGGTCGTCGTCGTCGTCGTCGTTCTCGTCGTCGTCCTCGTTGTCGTCGTCGTTGTCGCCGTCGTCGACGTCGACGTCGTCGTCGTCACCGTCGTCACCGTCCACGTCGTCACAGTCGCCGGAGACATCGTCGGGGTCGTCGTCGTCGTCGCCGTCGTCGTCGTCGTCGTCGTGGTCGTGGTCGTCGTCGTCGTTCTCGTCGTCGTCCTCGTCGTCGTCGTCGTTGTCGTCGCCTTCGTCGTCGTGCTCGTCGTCGATGTCGTGTTTGCCGTCGCCGTCGTCCGTCGTCGCCTTCGACGTCGTCGGAGACGTCGTCGGGGTCGTCGTCGTCGTCGTCGTCGTTGTCGCCGTCGTCGTCGTCGTCGCTGTGGCTAGTCTCGGGGGGGGCATCGTGGCCTGCCTCTCTGCAGGTGGCACCCCTGGTGGTGGTGCCGCTCGTCTCCCCTCCGAGAGCCGGGGTCCCGGGGAATTGCTGCAGACGGAGCGTGCCCCAAGGCCAGCGGGGCTGCACGTGACGTCGTCGTGCCGGCTGTGGTAAGGGGAATTCGCTGTGGGAGGGGAGAGGAGGAGGAGGAGGAGGAGGAGGAGGAGGAGGAGGGGGAGGAGGAAGGGAGAGAGGGGAGAGAGGAGGAGGAGGAGGAGGAGGGGGAGGAGGAGGAGGAGGAGGAGGAGGGGGAGGAGAAGGGGAAGGAGAGCGCCTGGGGGCGCGGGTGCATCGAGGAGAGCGCCCGGGGGCGGGGCGGAAGCCGGCTGCACGCAGCGGTCTCGAGGGCCATCTTCAGCCGTCTTGGCGGCATATTCCGGCAACCGTGGGCCCTCTTGGGGCCATGTGGGCCGTTTTGGAGGAAATTGGCGCCGTCTGGGAGGCAACCTTGGGCGTCTTTCAGCCATCTTGGACGGAGAAGCTCACGAGATGTTGCTTTGCTGCGGGGCCTGCGGGACTGGCCTTGGCGCAAGCCCACCAGGGACTTTTTCTGGAAGGGCCACGAAAAGTTCTGAGTCGTGAGCACACGACGAGCCCTTTCCGCCACTGGGTCAAGTTCGTGGATGAGGGGCCTCTTAGAAGCCTCTTGGGGGATCTTGCGAGGCCTCTTGAATCGTGAGGGCTTCGTGGGAGCCCTTCACACGATGCTCGAGATCAACCAGGGGGTGTCCAACCTCAAGCGGGAAAAAGCACAGGACACGATTGGAATCAGAGCCGACATGTTGATGCACGCCTCCATGGAACTCAATCGAGCAGTACCGCAAGTATACAAAACCGTCATACAAGCTGATGCACCTACCCCACAGAGCGGGGGTCAAACAGTCATCGCATTAACCCCCCAAGAGAGGCAACCTGACGCAACCCGAAAACTATACATCCCAATTCCACCATACCCTTGCTCTACAAACTGTTCAGCAAGCTCGCGCACGATAGACTGCGGCCGCTTCTGGACAAGCAGCACTCCCCAGACCAAGCTGAATGCTGCCCTCGACGTCGACGCAAGGTCGCCTCCTTACTTTCCACGTGCTTCGCGAAAGAGCGCGGGGTTGCCGCTCTGTGTCGCCTTCGCGCCATGTTGGCCGCGCTGAGTCCCGCCCCGCACCCGGCTCTGCCTGGCGCCTGCCTTGTCTTCCGTAGCCAGTGGCACAGCCTGCCCCTGCTCGCCCGGCGTTCGCCCCGTGTCGTGCGCCCGCGTGCCAAGTCAAGAAAAGAGGGCGGGAACGGAATCGATCACTGCGGACAGCGACGCCCGAGTTCAGGA